GAAGTGGCAAGGACTCAACATTGTCTTGAGAGGGTAACTTTAATGCTGCTACTACTCTATGGGGAAGGGTTTTAATGTGTAGAATGTCCTATGTCATACAGGAAATTCACTTTAAGAGTGACATTTTCTTTCCATATGCCCTTTACAAACAGTGAGGAGGGGACTGGAGGCACAAGGGTGCAGAGCATCCCAAAGGCTTTGCCCAAAGCAAGCCAAAGGTTCCATCGTTTCTCCTCCTTGCTCTACCCTCAGCAGTGCAAAGGGACCTGGGAGGACCAGGAACACTCATGTGACAGTGTCACATCTGGCATGGGACAAACTGATCTCTCTTGATGCCACAGTTCATCCTCTGTGGCAGAGAACTGACTCCCCTTCTGTGTGGTATTGTAAGGGTACATTCATTAATGTTTCTAAAGCATTCAGAACAGTGGAGCCTGTGCAGTGTGAAGTGACTTTTTCTGTTCTCTAGTGACTGTCATTTGTATAGTAGATATGCTGTGATTCAGAAGCAAAAAGTAAGTCAATAGCAAATCTTTTAGGGTTTATGATTTAATAATTTCATGGCTAATAGACTAATTCTGCTGTGCCTTCATTATGATTTTTTTTTTTACTTGGTTCATTTTTTATAACCTGGGAGAAAGATTTAATTTTAGAAGTTTCAGTTGACAAAGACATGCTGGTGCTAGATATGAATTTCAGATCATTGTCATTGTACTCTATTTTTAAATTCAAGTGCCTGCCAACTGAAAGAGCACCCTGTGTCTGTGCTGGGTGTTCTGCATCCGTGCTACAAAGCTGGGTTCTTCCAAGCTTCAGCACAAGGCCAGCCAGTTTACTTTTATATTTTTTCCTGTTTAATGAAGGGAAATGTTCTAGCACCTTTTCATTATCACCGAACTAAAGCTGGTCATGAAAACAATCCCCCTCCCTCCAGAGGCCTGCACAGGCATTGGCCATTGTTAAGATGCTTGCCTATCAACAACCACTTGAGAAAGAATTTTAAATGGTTTTGTGACGTCAAGGAGGCACAAGAAAACATAGTCTGGTGCCAAATTGCCTCCATCACTGAAAGCACACAGTAAGAAATAGATAACACAGAAATAAATCTTTTGTGCTGTAGCTATCTCATGATATGCTCTAGCGACTCCAGAAAGTGAGCTTGTCTGGTATAGCAATAGCTGAAGAAGATGAACTTTCAGAGCCTCATTTTCTAATTTATGATTAATGAAAAGCTGGCCTGATCTGTCTGACTTCCTGCTGTCTGCACACAATGTCTGCGGGGAGCTTGGACCTCGCGGAGGGAACCGCCCTGACCAAGTTTCAGCCTACAAAAGTGAACACTTTAAGTACGGTGGACAAAAAGCTCTATCTCTTGAATGAAAAGATGGACAAACTGTTGCATTTCCATGAAGACCTGTCTGGCAAACTGCAGCGAGTTGACAGAGGCATTGCTGATGTAGAAAATGGCATTAACAAGCTCACAGTATCCCGAGCAGCTCCTGATGACACAGATGCAAAGCAGAAAGGCCTGGAGGTACCGGACAGTGCTGCCCAGGCTGACGTCCAGAGTATGTGCTCAGAAGTGTTGAATTTGATGAAAGCTGCCCAACTAGATGCCTCCAAGCATAAGGAGAGGCTGGCAAAGATAGAGAAAAGGGTTGATACCCTGGATAAAGTTATTACATTTGTGGGAGAAATATTAAAAAATTCTAAAGTAGTGGATTTCATTCTCAAAGGCATTGTGCCCTGGAAGAAGGGGAGTCTGCTGGAAATCCCTGTTGAGGTTGGTTTAGTTTTACTGTTCTTCATTTCACTTTATGACATAGCAGGGCTTTAGGTTCTCCTGTCAATCTTTTTCATGATGTTTAATTCAAGTTTTCCTTTCTGTATTGCTGGTACAGGTTACTGCTGGGACCTTTGAATTGCAGGGCTCTTAAGGCAGGGAGTAAGCTCAAAACAGTGTCTGAGGTTCCTGAAGGGTGCTGGGCAGTCCTGTCATGACTGTGAGAAGGAGATTGCTACTGGAAAGGAAAATTCAGCTTCTACCAGTGCTCAAAGTTCAGCAATGTCACCTGAATTAGTGACTGAATTGAGGCCTCAGTGAAAAGTATGAGTAACATACTGAAGAAAGCTAAGAAGCTTTTGGGTTTTTTTTTTTGAGAGAAGCTTCTATTTTATTGTTCATTCACAAATTCGGAACACAGCACCAGTTCCTGAGACCTGTGCTGACTTATGGTCATATTACCAAGCAGATTTACATGTCCTTAGACATCTGAGTTGTCTTTAGCGACAGTTTTGTGATGCAGCTGTGACTTCATCAACTCCATTAACATCATTCACTCCTGAAATTATGTACTTCTTGTGTTTGCATATTCCCATACATCAGTTCCCAAGCATTTCTTAATTATTGAGGACAATGAGGGAGGAACAGGCAAGACCAATACTTAGTTGATATGGTATTTTAAAATAGATTACCCTTGTTTTTTTTAACACTCACAGGCATCTGGAATTAGTTCTAGGTAACAGGAGTTTCCATTTTTCACTATGGCTTCTACTCCACCATGGGAATGAAAGAGTGGAAAACTGCAAGAGCTAGAATATGTTTATTCATTCCAAGAATCTTCTTGTATGTAGAGATGTGATTACAGTAAGGAGAATTTAGCTCAAATGAAAATGTCCATTTGTATCTTAATACAAATATTTTTCACCAAAACTGTAAAATCCTTTGATGGGAAGGTGCATCTAACCCATTAGAAGAACAGGGCAATGCTTGATGCCAGTGTACCTTTCCAGGCTTTCAGCACTCTCCTGATCTCCCTTTTTTAAGTGCCAGATGCTGGCAAGTGAGCTGACCTGTTAGGAGACAGAAGAATTTATAAAGTGCTTCCATTAGTGTTGAGAACAATAAATCATAAGTCATCAACCTTAAATCTGGATAGAGATAAAGCTCATACTTGCAGTGCCAGCTTCAGTTCTACAGGTTTTTAGAGAAATGGGAAAGTCTGGTGTGTTTTGGGTTAGCTGTGTTACTACAGTCACTGCCTGCTGCCACTGCAAAATGCCTGGAGACAGATACTGTCCTTTGCTTGGTTTTGTGGACAGGCAGATAGAGATTGCCTGGTGACAGCCTGTTGGACTGGGAGGGTGTGGAGCTCTGTGTCCCAGGCTCTAGCCTGTGCCTTGCTTGGAGAGCAGTCAGGGTGTAGTGGGCGAGCAGCTTTATGGCAAACTCCAATTTTGCAATATGTCCATCACTGTCCTCCCTTTTTGTTTCTGGTCATGAACACTTTTTGAAATTGGAGCATGAGGTTTATTATAAGACCTTAAGATAAGTCTGTGCTTTGATCACAGGCTGCTGAGTGATACCTGAACTAGGCTGGAGTTAGTGAGGTTGTGTGTGTACGTGACCTGGCTGGGAAACGTGGAGCAAAGCACAGGTGAACGTAAGAACAAATTACCTCGTGCTGAGCCATGTGCTAACTCGGGTCTGGTTTTTGCAGCCTGTTCTGTGATAGCAGCACAGACCTGTCCAAAGAGCTCCACATTGCAGGGGGAGCACAGAAAAAGAACTTGCTGCCTGCTTGTTCCTCTTTTTCCTTTTTACCTCCTTTTACCTTTGCTGTTTGTACCAGGGCTCTGCTCATCACGGGCTGGCTCAGGATGGGCTGGGAGCAGGGAGGTCATCTTTGCATTTCTGGGTGAAACTGTTTGTTGACAGCATTCCAGGGATGCCTTGGGAATGCTTATGGAAGAAGTTCTGTGGGGTTGAAGTCAACAAAAGGCTATGAATTTAGCTTCCTAGGTTCCAAACATCTAACTTTTTACTTAAAAACCAGAAAAAACGCACCAACATTAAACTGTCACTTACCCAAGGCTTTCTTTGCATGTAGGATTGTGCCAGAATAATGTTCACCCTGGTCATTGTTGCAGGTTTGCTTAGAGCTGTAATAAAAAGGGTAATGATTTTTTTTCTACTTTTACTCTTTGGGTGTTTTGTTTTTTTTGGGAATGGGGAGGTGGGGAGGCTCTGTTCACTTGTAGGGCTGGTGCATGAAATCCTTAACTGCTTTTACTAACAGGTGAAGGGCTGATGTGCAGCTGTCTTGTAATCAGTTACCTGCAGAAATACTTTAAATGTTGCTTATTTGCTTGTACAAATCAGGATAGGAGGCCAGATCATCACTAGATTTTTAACTATATGCCAACCACAGGAAATACTATGCCTTTTCCTAATTTTGTGTAATGCTTTTTGCTACATAGAAGTCAGTTGTAATTTGATGTCACATGTATTGCTGTGTGAAGTCTTTAGTGGTCCTGTTACAAAACAACCCTCTTCTCGAATTAACGGGGAGGGAAAACACTGTTTAAAGATAAAAATATGCTTCTGTTTTTAATAATTCTAAAGGTGACATGTTGGATGTCAACTACACAAGAGATGATATAAAGGTAGAGGTTATTTTTTGGTATCACCTCTTACCAGGTCATAATGAATTTATTTATTATATATATATAATGAATATAATTTATATAATAATAATATACATAATGAATGAATTAAAATTCTTTCAATAATGAATTTTTAGATACCTCGAGACAAAGGTTTTGACAAATATATTCAGAAACATTACTTTTCATTCTGTCACCAGCCAAAAAGCAACAGAAACACAGTATCATTTCTTTTTCTACTGTCTCATGTTTCACATGTCATACTTTTTAATCAGTGTGAGTAAAGATGACGGGTGGCAAAAACCCTAAAAGTGAAAATTTTGGCAAGCAGTGACCTAATGTATTAATCTGTTATGTTGTTTTAAAAGGATGTCTGCCTGCAAAGGCAGGGAGAGATTGGAAGAAGGAAGTAAACACAGCACTGACTAATAATTCAGGAGAGGTGTAACTGTCCATTTTACAGAGTCTCAATGCCTACGTAGTTGCAGGAACCTAGTGGGAAATAGACACTCTTGGCTGTAACTGTAATTTCTGTGTTCCCCTGTCATTTTTAGGCCAAAGATAAGTCTGAGGAGAGTGGTGCAAAACCTAAGCATGTGCTTAGTAACAGAGGAACCCAGACTGAAAGCAAGAAGCCTCTGGAAGGTATGTATCCCTCCAGGCATGCCACAAGCTCTGACTCTAGAATGTGCCGCAGACAAACTGGAAATTAATAGCCTGCTATTTCCCACTACCTGAATTACTCAAATGTAACTGAGTAACTTTGCCCCTCACTACTGGGAGAATAGAATTGTTCTCACCACCCTCACAGGATGATTTATCCCCAGGATCAAGCACCACAAAAAGCTAGAAGATAAAGAAATTGAAACCTTTGTTTAGCTGAATAGCTGGGGTTTTCAGAGTTGGGTTCCACTGAGCTGGTGAGCAGAGCTTGTTTGGAGATACTGTGAAGATAGTGGCCCTATCACATAGCAAACCTAATAAGTTCTTTTCCATTAATATATCTGAAGCAGCCCTCCCTCTTCCCCCTCTCTGAAAAAGGGACGTGTTGACACCAGGAATATCTTTTTTTGATCAGCAAGTTTCATTGGCCTGTCAGGGCCAGATTCCTATTTAGGGTGCATCTGTCAGGGCATTGCCCTGTTGCATCCATTGTTAATGCCTGTGGAGTTGCAACAGGGGTGAATGTGATGTTGAGCAGGCCCTGTCATGCTGTTGTCTTCACAAATTGTCATTGAATCCTTTGCTTTGTGGGCAATCCCCTTTTTGGCTTCATCGCTTTGGAGGTGACAAAAACAAAGCAAATGGTTCCAATTTTGACTCAAGAGCAAGATGGGGTCGTGAGCAAACCTTGGTTGCTGATGATCTGAGCATGTTGAATATTAATAATCACAGCCATTGTCATGAGAAGGTGATGAAGAACCTTCTAGTCCTTTTGTGGAAACTGCAGGTGGGCGCTGTCTCACTCCTCAGTGTGGCTTGGAGCCTCACTGGGTGTGTCTCTGCCCCTCTAACTGGGGAGAAGGGTCTGGTGGGATCAGGAGTGTCCTGCAGGATCTGCAGTGCCTTAAACTACCTGTTTTACTTGCCCACAAAGTGGTTTCAGATTTTAGATACTATGAACTCGAGCCTTGCGGGTTTTTTGTTTGCTTTAAGGAATCCAAGTTCACTCTGGCACTGCTGGAAAGCCACCGGAGCAGGTAAAAATCTGGGTTTAAGCCATGAGCATTGGTAGTATCTCGAGCCTGATGGGGTAGAGATTTTAAACCTTTTGGGGAATTTTTGCTGTCTTCTCAGGTGTAACTCTGTAGGTTATTTTGAGAGGTGTGTTGCTTTATTCCTTCTCTGTTTTGCCATCACTTTTGCCAAGGATAGTTTATTAACAGATTATTTTATTCAGAGACAAAAAGCGTGAAGAAGCTGGATGAAAACAAGGGAGCATGTGAGAAGGTGAATACTTCCAGTGCTGTAGCCCACAAAGCTGACTCCAAACCCCAGGTTAAAGACAGGACAGCACAGCAGCAAGGGGTAGAAGGTGCTGGCAAAACACAGAGCTCTAAGAGCTGTTCACAGCAAAAGGACATCGATGTCAAAGCTTTGAAACAACACAACAGTCTTCCCTTGGTACATCAGGATCATGTGGGCAACCAAAATGCTCCTGCTAAAACACAGAACGTGGACAGAGCCCCACACCTTGATGAGTGCCACAGGCAGCTTGTTCATCAGAAACCTGGGAAGAATGAAAACAAACCTCCAGCACCGAGTGCGGCATCCCGGGAAGCCGTGCCCTCCACATCCCGGGCTATATCTGACACGGGGTGTGAAGTGACACATACCAGGTAGTGGCCTTGGTAGCTTTCTGTGTGACCCAAAACCTTTTCACGTGTTAGAAGGGAGAAAAGGAATTAAAGGAGGCAGCTCCTCTGGGATGGGATTGGAGTGGAGAGACCTTACAAGGCTTAAGGCAGAAGGCTTAGGGGCCTGTGTCAAGTTCTGTACGGCTCAGGTGGGAGGGAGGGGTTTGAGGCATCAGCCCTTGTGTGTGCTGACATAGGAAGGTGACCACCACAGAAGAGCTCAAGTAGTTTTAAACCACTCACTTCCTCCCAGCTCCTTGGTTTCTGTAGCCATGGGAGTGAAAGGAATTTGAGATATTTATTAGTGTATGACAAAATTGAAGAACTTGTGTTTGTTGTCCTCAGTGTTTTCAGTGCCTTGGTTACCTAAAAATTGTTCATTTATTCATCTCTATCAGGCTAATATTTTCCTCATGTAGGTGTTTAATAGTCCATTTTCCTTCAGATTATTTATCTAAGATTTTATTTTAATCCCATTTATTTAAAATTTAAAAAGCCCACACAACTGAAAACAACAAAACCCCACAACCAAAAGACCCCTACCAATTAAACCTGACGAAATGGAACTTCAGGGGCAGATTGTGACTGCCAATACCTTCTCTGTCTGGGTGGGTGACTGTAAAGTGTGTAGGGGGTGATAGGCACTCATCCATACACACCCACAAACGTATGTGTGACTTTGGGTGGGGAATTTCTCCTTTGTTCACTTGTACAAATTTGGTGTCTGAGCCCCAGGTTTTGGTTTGGGGATGAGGGAGACCACAGGTAACTGGAAGGCAGAAGCTGGAGTAAGCCCCAGGGGCAGCTGCAGCCCAGGGCATTGTCATGGTTTGGAGTGTGAAGTCACATGAGGGTGGTAAATGCCTCTTTAAAATGGATGCAACTTTTAATGAAGTTTGTAAGCCCACACAGAGGCGTCAAAGGAACATTGTGTTCCCCAGCTTGGAGCAGTGCCCGAGAGTCCCACTGCATTCGGGCTTGTCTAGATAGCAGAGGAAGTGTTTGCTCAGAGCTGGCTTCAGCTGCTCTCACAGCTCACACCAGAGCAGATCAGACCCACAACACAGCACCAGGGTGTTAAAGGTGCAGAAAATGAGACATTTCAGACTCTTGTTTTATGAAAGCAGAAACATTTTTCTGTTATAATATCTTTTGTAATGAGGTTGCTCCATCAAAAGAGGCAATAACCTTTGTGAAAATGAGGTATGTTCTCTCCCAGACATCAGACACTGTCTTCATTTGCCATTGTGTAAAATCTACTTTACAACTTCACAAGTTTCAGTTCAGCCTCGGTAAAATCAGACTGTTCATGACAGTTGGAGCAGTAACAGTTGACTCAGACATTATCACACGAATGTCTTTGATGCAGTTTAGGAGCACAGAGAATTGGTTCTAACCTGTATTCTTTTCAGGCAACACAAGAGGGGGAAAAAAAATCATTAAACTTTTCCAGTAGCTAAAATGCCAAGGAAAATAGTACTGATGGAGTGAGAGAGTTTATCAAAGTTAGATTTTTAAGAGAAAGTTGTGGAAAGAATGCTATCCCATCAGAAGACCCAAACACAGATGGCTGAGTGTGCAGGTCAGCCAGCTGGAAGGGGATACAAACCATCAGATTTGTAGAGCCATATGAGCAGCCAGCCATTTAGATAATCAGCCTGTAATTGCCTGTGAAGGCAATCACTATCCTCTCTCTGCCCAGATGAGTGGTGTTTTATTAGACCAACTGTAATAATTGCAAAAAGTGGGTAAGTTTTCAAATGTGGGATTAACTCTTTGCAGGGAAAGGCATTTTGTTCAGCAGGAAGGCAGACATGTAGGGAGATGAGGACACAGAGAAAGAATCTGCATGCTCTTTGGTGCTTTCCCCATGTTCATGAGTCTTTCCCAGCAAGATTGGTAGTTAGGTTTTATCAGTACTACAGTGATTTATGGGTTTGGAAACTTAGAGATTTTTCTTTCCCCTACAAAGTTACAAAAACAAGGCTGGCCACCTGCATCAATATCAAATGTCTCCTGTTTGCTCTGCAGGATATCCATCAGTGTACATATGACTGACATGAAAGAAAAGATTGAGATGGCCAAGGAGGGAAACGTAAGTGACAGCAGAGGTAAAAGTCCCAAGTCCACACCAGCAGACTTGAAAGGAGTCAAGCAGGGGCCTGACAAATTAAAACTTCAACAGAGTCCTAAAAACATCAGCTCCAAACCAAATTCAGAAGTTAAAGGGGACGGTAAGCAAAATGAACTTGCATCTCAAACAGGGAAGCAACAGCCATCCCTGAGAAAGCCCAAACCAGGTGACAAACCTGAAGAGAAATCAGAATTAAAATGCATGCCCATAATCTCACCAAATACCCCTGCCAAGAAGCCTGTGAAAGATGCAGGGGTAGAAGTGAAAATCCATCAAGAAACAGCAAAAGTGAAAAAATCCCCAACAGATAGCAAGTCTGAGAGGAGAGAATCTGAGACTGCAGGGGGAAGCGGACACGACGCTCAGCGGAGTACAGGAGAGGCACCAGAGAAGACCAAGTCTCTGGAAGCTGGCAGAGCTCTTCCCACTCAAGGAGAAATCATCGGTGAGTTGCTCACAGTTGCTCTTGAAACTTGTACATTGAGGATTTTGTGCTATTCCTGCCTGTTGTATAGACAATAAGAGCAGGAGCAGTGCTCAGTAGAACACCCGTGTCTTACACTTCAAGGGTGTTTTGCAGTGGGTACCTTTGATTATGTGAATAAGAGTTCACAGATTCTTTTAATAGTAACTTCCCTTTTAAAGTGTGTTTTGGGAAAAAAAGCAACTCATTTACAATAAAATAGCATGAAGTGTATGTGTGATGAGAGTACAAGAATTTTGAAAAAATCCATTTTCTTTAGATGGAGCACTTGTTCCTTCAGATAGAGCGTGCAAACCAGGCACACTTTAGCAGCTATGGACTGGAGATCCAGAGCACAGAATGCAGGAGATGTTTCTTGTTGTGGCCTGCTGTGTTCTTGGCCATGGATCTCTTGGTTCCTGAGGGAACTCTTGGTTGCATTGTCTCAAAGGATGCTCTCTCCTGGCAGCACATATGTGTGTGTGTTCCAGAATGTACAGACATGGGCAGATGACCTGACTGCTCTGGTGTTCTGAGCAGGGGCTGGAGATGAGCTGAATACATGTTAAATTGCAGCCTGAGATACCTGGAGGTTAATTATAAAATTGCTTTCAAAGGGGGACATAAAAAAAATGGGTTTAATGAAGCTTTACCCTAGAAAACCTTGGACGCTAAGTGATCACAGTTAACTAATTTAGCTTACCACAAACAGACTAAAATTAATGGTTGTAATGCTAATAATTGCAGCTTTAATTGGAAATTGTCTGCAAAATTCTTGCTGCTAAGAGGAACCTCATGATTTTATCAATCACTGACCTCATTCCTCAGTGCTGGGTATTTTTGCTGGTGTTTCTGGCTGTCACATAACATTTAAAAGATAAGTGTGATTTTTCTTTTCAAACCTTTAGACAATATTTTCTGTTGGCCCTTTCTGTTAATGCATCAACTAAGATGTTGGTCTCCTAAAGGCGTCCAGTGGGTTTACTCTGTTAAAAAAACAGAGTGGAGATTTGGGAGGAGGGATCCTGATCTCAGTTCCAGGATTGTATTCCTTGTCTGTAGAAGGGATTTAGCAGCAAAAGCCCCTCCCATCCTGTGGGGTGAAAGCTGCAGTGTGGGGAGGTGAAGCAGGGCAGTGATGTGTGCAGAAATGACCAGCCTGTCTCCCCTGCAGATGACAGCCCCTCTCCTCCAGCTCCTTTCGAGCACCGCATCGTGAGTGTCAGGCAAGCAGAGGTGACCACGAGCTACTCCGTGTGTCGGCACGAGGTGCTGGGAGGGTAAGTGTGGCTGAGCCCAGGCTGTGCTGCTGCTGGGGAAATGCAGGGAGCTCTAGAGCTCTGCCCCAAGGGGTGTGTGAGGGGCACACAAGCTCTCTGCAGCCACAGGGTTCATCCTGGAGTCCTTTTGGTGTCATGGCTGCTCCTACATCAAGGATGTCCCTTAGATGGCTGGATGGGGCCCCAGCCCCATTTTCAGATGCCTGACTGCCATCCTGGTGACTGTTTTTGTCATTTGTTATAATAATCCTGGCCTCAGTGTTGTGAGAAGAGCCTGTACCCTTAAGTCAGACAGATTCAGAGCATTTGAAAAGTCAACAAAGCCCATTAGGTAAAGTAGCTTCCAAAATATTTTTTTTTTCTGTACTGAGCTGCACATTAAAGAAAACTAAGGAAGAGTTATAATTATTTTGACCTTACATTTAGTTTTCACTCATAGGAAGTCTGCAGCTGCTTCAGCTTTTGTATTCTTGTAGCCTTACTTATGTGACAAGAAGGCTTGATTTACACATTGATCCACGTACAAATATGGCTTAATAACTATAAGCAATGTGATGCAATAGTGGGGAAGATGGTGTTTAGGAATCATCCCAAGGGGCATTAACATAGCTGTGTGACATGGGGGAGAATTTACAGCATGCCAGAAATGCAGGCTGCAAGTGGCTACAGTTACTGGTCTTATGGTCATTTAAAACGTTCTGAGATCAGGACAGAAATATCCTTGTTAATATACCCACTACCACATCCCTGAAGGACAGCAAGGGGGTCCAGTTACAGAAGGGAGCCAGAGCATGGCCAGGCCATCATACCTCAGCAGGACCAGCGAGGTTTAATATTTTAATGTAAGCACTGAACAACTGGCTGGAAAGATAAAACTAATCCTTCATAAGCTGAGAGAAAGAGGAGCTCCATGCTGCTGGCCACCCGACTCCGTTCGCTTTGTACTGGGCTATTTTTGCTCATGATAAGAATAGTTCCAGGAGAGGTTGCTGTGCTGAGCTGTGCTGAGCTGCTTTCCCATCTTCTCCTTGGCATCCACAGGGGGCGTTTTGGGCAAGTCCACAAGTGCACGGAAATATCGACGGGGCTCAACCTGGCAGCCAAAATCATCAAAGTGAAAGGAGCCAAAGAGAAGGTGACCACACTGCTGGGAGCTCTGACCCTGCCCTCCCTACCAGAGCCCCATGAGGGGCAGTTCGTCCTTGGGTACCATCAAATACTGCAAAACCTTGGGCTTGGTGTGACTCTTTATCATCTCCTGTACTCATGAATAAACCCCCAATCCCCTTGACATCTGTGGTGTAGCTGTTGTTGGGCTTTATAAATAGTTCTGTTTTGGTATGTTGAAACTTAGAGCATATTTTGTTCATTTTTTGTTATTTTTTTCAGGAGGAAGTGAAAAATGAAATTAACATCATGAATCAGTTAAATCACGTGAATCTGATCCAGCTTTATGATGCTTTTGAAGCCAAAAATAATATCACTTTGATCATGGAATAGTAAGTTTAAATGGTCTCAGATGTCAGAATTGTCAGATGTTTGGGTTTTCTCAGGTCACTAAAGCAAATAGGGAATGATTATTCTGAACTGTGAGGAAGTGAGCAGTTTCCCAGCCTAAGAGAGAGTTGATCTCACTTTTAGAAGGAAATAATAATGTTTTAAAGATAATTTCTTCAGGTTAAAATCTTGTCAGAGCTTTATCTCTGACTAATTTTCTCCTAACTTCCATGCTGAATTAAGTTCAGTTGTCAGCTCATGTGAAACAGCTTTCGGTTTAAGAAGTTCCAGTTAGTAAATTTTGTAGGTTGAAGACTTGTTTTCCCATGACTAATAAGATGAGTGAATAAGATACTTTTGAACTCCCTGTAGGTTCTCCAGGTCCCATAGGATCACCAGGTTGTGTGGGTTTGGGTTTGACATGTATCCCCCAAATACTTGTGACAACTTTCCCATTTTTGAATATAGATTGATACTTAATTTCAAGAGAAGTAAGTCCTGTCAAGTCACTGAGGCTGCTGATACCTTGGTTGTTTTGTTAGGACACTCAATTACAGAGCCTAATTCCCAGCCTGGAAATAAACCGGGCTAATGCAAGATTTTAGGGTTTTTAATGCTTTTCTATGTGAAAATTTTAGTCTTGATGGTGGGGAATTATTTGACCGGATCACAGATGAAAATTACCATCTGACGGAGCTGGATGCCATCCTGTTCACCAAACAGATTTGTGAAGGAGTCCACTACTTGCACCAGCATTACATTCTCCACTTAGACCTGAAGGTCAGTTGTTTGTGCTCTCTGTGCTTTAGTGGTGCTGGTTTAGGCACCAGAGGGTCTCTGATTACTGAGGAGTAATTTCTCATTTCATGGACTCATGTCATAAAGGAGTAGCCTTAATAGCTACAATGAATGGAGCTTTAGAGATTGATAACTTTTTCCCAATGTCTATTCAGTAGCTTGCTTGGAATCATCAGGATTCTGGGTTTTTGCCTTTCTTAAATCAGCAACTTTTCATTCTCTATAGCATTAAACGATCTCCTTTTATCATCAATGAAAAAACCCCACTCAAAACCTCCTTGGCCAGAAATGCCCACAATCTTCCCTCCATTTCCCCTACACTTTAACAGCGTACAAATTCCTGTCCAGTCATCTATAGCTTGTACTTTTTACTGCCTGGAACCAACCTGCAGCAAAATTGCAATGGTTTCCTAATGGTCCCTTAATAACTGACATTTTTAAACAGAAATACAAACTGGTTTTTTTCTGCCTGTTTATATAGCACCTTACACAAATGACATTAGACCAGGCTGGCTCATAGTCCTGCAGTTGTAATACATTTGGACCCCATCACTCCCCCATCCTCACCTTGAAAAATATTCTCATTGGAAAAAAAATAAATAAATTTGGGTGTATTTGATCTGTTTTTTGTGACTTTTTATGGAGGGAATTGTATATACTGTCTCTTGCTAAATATCTCTTTCAAACATTTAACTCAAAATACCCTCTTATCTTTTTGTAGCCTGAAAACATCCTATGTGTAAGTCACACAGGAAACCAGATTAAAATTATTGACTTTGGATTAGCAAGGCGGTAAGAAAGTTCAGTTGTGAATTATTTTAAGAAAAAAAACCAAATCCAACTCACAAACCTCTGACATGTTTCTGGTAGTTCTTTGGTGGGGGATTGTGTTTTAATGGCTCTGTAATAATTCTGTGTGAGTGAGCTAAGCATTATGCTTTTGCAGGCATGAGTTTTCTGCTGTGTGCATTAATTATCTAATTACATTTTCAAATAACATTTCCCTTGGATAAAGCTTTACTACTGTTCTAATTATCTCAAAATTATTCTCCATGTAGAGCTTTTACTCTAGGGACTCTGTGAAGGCTCCCAGAGACTTCTTGACTGCGGGGTTTCATGGTGCAGGTTCTAATTGTAGAAATTATCTGCTAAACTCTTTAAGTAGCTAAGTTGATTGAAGGAAAAAAAGGAGGAAAAAAAAAAAAGTTTGAACTGTCCCATGTGAAAAAGGAAACCCTCAGAAAAACAGGGACTTTTCTCCATTCTTTTATTTTGCTTGCATGAATTTAAAGGAAAGCTGTGAGAGCATAAGCCAATTGTCATAGAATAAAAATGAATTATTTCTATTACTATAACAGTAAGAACAATAATATGTCTCTAATTATTTTCTAACCCCATTGAGATTTTTCTTAATCTAAAAGCTGGTACATTACATTCATGCACAGATATATTTATATGCTTATATATAAGTATCTGTTGAAGAACTTTGTTTCCATAAAATACTTGTGAAAAAAAAAAAAGTACGTTAAGTTTGGGGTTTTATTTGTTCAGTTTTTAAATTTGGAGGGTAAAGATAGAAGCTTCTACTGAAGCAGTTTTGTGAACAACATCATCCAAGTGAAAGAGATTTACAAGCAGTGCTTCAGTGGTTTGTTCTGTCTGAACACAGATGTTACTCCAATTGCTGTCAGTGGCAAATGTTTCTGGTTCAGTCTCATAACCTTGCCTTGTTTAGCAATAGCAAAAAGAATAGAAATATCATTTGCCCCTATATGGGGGCACTGTTACTTGTTCCTGAGCCCAAATAATCATCTTCAGTCCCACCTTAGAAGTTACATTGTGTTCATATCTGTGATGCAGATGTTTACCCTGGGTACATCTCACTAATCAAATGCTCTCCAAATCTTGTATAATCAAAACTGCTTCATTTGTTTCATGGATTTTGGACAACATCTGCTGGAAATCACCTGTGCTGCCTGGCAAAGGGTAAAGCTGCTACCAGTCTTTGGGGGAGCCCTTTGCAGGTTTAGTGTCCTTGTTCCTCCTGGCTCTGCTCTGGCAGGGGGATAACGATGGAATGTTCCCCTGGGGTCAGCAGTGCTGCCCTGGCTGCGGGCACTTGGCTCTGCTCCCAAAAGCCTTGCCTTGCTCTCCCCTTGGTGAGATGAGCTCCTCACTCGTGGCTCTTCTCCCGGTACAGGTACAAACCCTGTGAGAAGCTGAAGGTGAATTTTGGGACTCCAGAGTTCCTGGCTCCCGAAGTGGTGAACTATGACTTTGTTTCCTTCCCCACGGACATGTGGAGCGTGGGTGTCATCACGTACATGCTGTGAGTGGCTCTGCCAGGGGTGCTGTGCTGGCTCCTGGGGCCCTGCAGGGCAGGAATGCAGCAGCCACTGAGCACATCTGGCTGTGACTCCTCCTAACCTGTTAAAAGCCCCAGCTTTCCACACAGAGTCACCTTGCTGTGTGTCCAAAGTGTCTAAACAACAAATGATCTTTTTGATAAATATGTAAATATTCTTCTCCCTTATCATCTTGCTTAGCAAAGTAAAATGGGTCAGGTTGGTTTTGGTTTTTTTTTACTCTAAAAGTTGCCCAAAATATGTGAGAATTTTAATTTTGATTGTGTTTTTGAGGACTTGAATTAATTTTTAAATTTGTGATCTGATCATTTTACCATCTTAGACTTGGTGTGCATCTGCACAGGAGAATTAATATTATCTGTGGTGGGCCATGGGTCTAAGAAATGACCTGTCGTGAACAGGGCTGAAACCTGTCTCTGCTATCTGGATGGCAACCATGGACAGCTTGTCTGTCCAAAGTCTCTACCTTCTGATGAGCTTATTTTGCATCCCAGAATCTTTCACAGACATTTTCTGTGAACTGGATAAATTTCTGGTTTAAATTTGTATGTTAGCCAAAACCCAACTGCATGAAGTAATAAATGATGGAAGCAATCAATCTGGGCTTAGAGACTAACTGTAAAAAGTAATTATGTTCAGGATTCTGTTTAACTCAAGCCACATATGGATATGGGCCCTGATTTGGGAAAGCTCTTGGGTCCCTCTAGCTTTCCTAGCTGGGAAAGCACTGAAGGGATGTACCTAAATCCTCACTGAATCCATTCCTTGGGGATCTATTAATGGTGTTCCCTGACCTGAGTGAACTGCTGGGGGGAAACACTAAATTACAATACTTAATTGCCCCAAACTGCTGCCTTTTCATGGCAGGGGCTGAGAAGTGGAACCCTCCATAGCTGAAAGGGCTGAGGGAGCTTTTTCCTCTGTAAGATAACAACAGTTATAAAGTAGAGGATTCATAGAAGGAAAAACATACCTTGCATATGATAACTGCTCTTCTTCCCCCACCCCATCTTTCTCTTTAAGGCTTAGTGGCCTGTCCCCTTTCCTGGGAGAGACTGATGCAGAGACAATGAATTATGTAGTCAATTGCAGCTGGGATTTTGATGCAGAAGCATTTGAACAGCTCTCAGAGGATGCCAAAGACTTTATTTCCAGACTGCTTGTGAAGGAGAAAAGGTACCTCTGTGTCTGATTGTGAGGACAGTAGCACCAATGATATTAAATTCTTACCAGCCAACTGTTTGGATTGCAGCCAACAATGAGAACTTACTATGTGACATTTTTGTGTGCTGGCTCTGGGCTTGCTGGGCAGTTCCTCAGTGATTCAGAAGTCCCTGTTTTAAAGGAAGGTGTCTGTGTACCCTGACTGAGGAAAGTTGCTTTTCACAGTAGCATCAATACAGGCAGAACACAGGAAATCTGGAAGGATTTGCAGTATAGGAATCTGTCTCTAAAGCTTTTGCTTCTCCGAGCAAAAACTATTTCTGTTGTTATTTTGGACTCTCACAAGCCTTGACAGAAATTGCAAAAATGCCTCTTGAAAGCCATGGAGGATAAATGGAAGCTGCAGCTGTGAAAATGAGCATTGTTCTCTTCTAAAGTGGTCTACAGGCTTTTGGGAGATATTAGGGAGAGTTTGGGACTTAACTCTGCTTGTGGCTTCTCAATCTTGGCTCTACTGAGATCAAGTGATTGCACATATGAAACAAAGCAGAGAATGAGGTTCATATTGATGTCAGACCACAGCTGGGGGGGTTGGCTTGGTACAGAAATTTTTCTCTTGCTGAGTAGTGATACAAAACTAATCAAATCAGGAAATGATGCATACAGTAAAACAGATTGTGTGTTTGAGAGGAATTCAAAGGAGTGCTTAGCATATTAACAACTTCCAGATCATTACCTAAATCAGACGAATCAGTTCTAGTACTAATTCCATTTTGAACAATAGGTTCCTATGAAAAACAAAGAATTAACTGAAATTTAGCATATTGCCAGCAGGAGAGATCTAAGGGTTTTTTCTCAGACTGTAATGATTTGCTGTGAGACTGTAAACTTTGGAGACTTCAGTTTTTCTGTGCAGTGGGATTAGGGTGTCCAGAAGGATACTCTGCAAAGTCTGGTTAGAAGCTGTGAATGAAATGAGTATGTGAGGGAGGAGTTCTGTCAGTGAGTTGCAGAGAGCAGTGATTATTTGGCCCAGTTGTTCACAAGGTGTGTGGCAGCCTCTGCTCTCCTGCAGCCCAGGCACCTTTGGGTGGCTCTGGCCTTGTGCAAGATCTGCAGCCCCCTCCCCTGACTGCTGAAATCGGGGTGAGCAGGCAGGAGTTGTCTTTTCATCATCTCGGCTCAGACAGAGCTCAGGAGTTAGATATAGGCTTCTGATTGAAAAAAAGGCAAATTAAACTTTTTTCTCAACACCTCTACTGCAAGATTTCCTTTATTACCATCTATTTCTCAAACATTTTAGGATAGGCTGTAGCATTTGTGCCCATCATTGGATGTTAGGTAAAGTATGCTTAGCTTGATCCAAGTTGAGGGTGAATAGACAATCGTGCTTTTTAAATATGAGGCACAGAATGAGCTTGTGCTGTCAGGACAGACAGATAACACAAACGCTACTTTTCTGTTAGCAATGTTCTAAATTTTCATGATAAAGTGTTACATTACCTCATGAACTTAACCACAGCTCAACTGAGCCACTGCAGAGCCACCAGCCGTCCTGCATCCCACTCACCCCTCCTGCTGGAGAGTGCAGGATGCTATCGGGATCCCAGGCTCGGGGATGAGCAGCATTTGCACTCGTGTCCATTCATTTGAGGTGGTTTCTTTACGGCTAACAAAGAGGAGCACTGAGGAGGTGAGCAGAGGGGGCTGGCTGGGTTTTCACGGCAGATCCCTCCCTGCAGCTGCCGGATGAGCGCGACGCAGTGTCTGAAGCACGAGTGGCTCAACAACCTCCCTGCCAAGGCCCAGAAGTCAAATTTCCGCCTGAAATCCCAGCTGCTGCTGCAGAGTTACATGGCCCACAGGAAGTGGAAGGTAAATACACAAAGGCTGGCAAATCTGCTTCCAGAGGGAAAATCAGCATAGCACAGGCAGAGCCATTCCCTTCTCTTGTGTGGGGGCTCACTAGTGCCCACAGGCTTCTTGGTTGTATCAGTTGTGAAGTCTATTTTTACCTGTAAATGAAGTATTTTGTTCTGCAGAAGGATATTGCTTCTATTTCTAGTAAGTTTGGTTTCAATTTTCACACTGATTGGTCTTTAGAAGTTTTTTACATCTTTTGTTCTATATGTTCAGAGGCTTCAGATGCTACTTTATATTAAAAGTTCATTCTCTTTATACTTTTTCCATTGCTAACAGTTGCATTGATCTGTTGTCACTAAGGAGTAGGGATATAACTTCAGGCAGTTTCTGCCTCTCTCTTTGGGATAGAGGAAAAAAAGATTAGACTTAAACCCATCTTCAGGATGTTACTGATAACGCCAGGCTCCTTCTGAACTAAGTTTTTATGAAGTTAGAGGTAGTAATTTGTGTTTGAATGTGATTGTAGATAATTGATCCTAAAAGGTGACCACAGTGATCTTGTTAGAAAGAAGCCTGTGGAATTGTGAGGCAAACTCAGTGAGCACCATTTCCTTCTCTTCTGCCACTGGGGAGTTGCATTTCCTTGCCAAGGAGTTAAATCAGAGGCTTACATTGTTTTCAGTCCTGCACTGCAACTGCTTGGTGGCAAACTTCTGCACTTGCATTTTAAAGATGACACAATCTAAGGACCTATCACTGTACAATTCATAGTAACACTGAAGTACCTCACAGTGCCAGCTGCTCTGCAGGAACCACTGCAACCCACACAAGCTGGGGGTCACTAGAGGGAAATGGATTTACCAGCAAGAAAAATCCCTGTCAGATGGAGAAAAGTTCCTTTGCCTTGGTTGCACTCACACTTGGACTATTCTATTCCGTTCACAGAAACACTTCTATGTGGTGGCTGCTGCTAACAGGCTGAAGAGATTTCAGAGTATGTCTGTCAAGCTTGCGTGAGCTTGTGTGAAACCTCCACCACTCCTGGAGATGGACATGAAGCCATGGAAGGAGGACTCTGTCTTCAAACATTTCTATCCCTGTTTTATAACATAAGGTTTTGGGACTGTCTTCCTCAATTATTCTGTGTGTTAGTACTGCGGTTCCAGAAGTGCCTTAAGGAAGAGGCACAAGATTTCTGAAAGCAGAAGCTATTTTGTTTGTTTTTACAAGTTTTTAGTTGTTCTATACAGTGCTGGAAAAACGTGGCTGTTACTGGGGCTGACTTCTTGCTGAAGGCTTTGATTCTGCGGAGTATTGCTGGTGTGTTTATAGCAGAAAACCCCTGGCAGTTTTCTAGTCTCTCCAGCAAGCACAGGATCTTTAAAGACTTTCTTCCTGACTGATGTATATGTGTTACCAGTTTAGAGAACTGCCACACAGTGGCACAACTTGTCCCTCAGGTGTTTGTTACTTAAAACAGAAGATAAAGACATCATTTTCTTTCCAAAACGTAATTTCCCCACAACATGAAGATGCTCCGGTGCAACTCCAGCTCGGATGGTTTTGGTTTGTTGTTTTGGGTTTTTATTATTCTACTCTCTCCCTTAAAAAACAGTCACTGCATAGTTAGGAACTATGAGGAACCCTGGTTTGAAGTAACTTAAATCAGTCCATTGCTGCTGTTTCTAAGGGCAAGTTGAATTAGCTGAACTGATTGAACTTCTGGAAGGAGATGTGTGAAACTGCCATGAATACAAATCACCTAATGACTGTCGGGTCTATGCAAAAAGATCTCATGGTGTAGAGAAAAGAGGAGAATTCCAGAGTTTTTATGTTTTTAAAACTTGTAAGTGCTTTTCTTTGTCCATGACTGCAGCACTTGTTAAGTTTTAGTCTGACGATTTGTTTTTCCTCTCTGGGAATTTTAATGCAGTCTGAGAAGCTGGTATAGTGTGACATGCAAAAGAGGTTTCATTTCTAACAGGTTCAATGACAGTGAAACAAAGTGTTGCCAGACTCTGCCTTTACTCCAGTTAGGAGGTTGAAGCCCTTTTTTTCCCCCTCACTTTGCTCTTGAACATTAAACTTTTTCTTCACAATATTAACTTATTTTGGATTTTAAACTCTTATGTGTAGAGTTGGAGTCACTTACAATCTTTCAGATAAAAGTACAACACTATTTATTAAACCCGTGGTTTCCTGTTCTGGATTCTGCAAAACTCAGTGTGAACTGGATGGGCTCTTAGGAAAAATGGAAACTAATATTACTAAAAGTAGCTTTCTAGCAAAGGCACGTGTAAAGCTCCTCTGAACAGTATGGCCCGTCACATCCCTTGAATTTGCACAAGTGTTGGTTGCTAATGATGAGGTTTGTAAGACTGGCTTACTCTAGCTATTTTTTTCCACTCAAGTGCTTCTCACTGTGCCTAGTCTTGACTTCTGCAGTATTTCCAGAATTGGGACAAAGAAGAATCTTGATAATTTATCACCTTCTGTGAAGGCCCACTTTTGTTCGTGTTTTCCTTCCACAGTGTTTCTGCATGCTGAATGTCACTGTATTCATTTGTCTGTATATTTCTGAATTAATACTAATAAATTTCATGAAAGTGGAACAAGAATATTCATCAACTTTGGTTGAAGTCCCCCTGCCAAACAAACCTGAAAGTGTTTCTGGGTAGGTCCAGAGATACAGGCCAAGCAGAAAACATGCAAGAGAAATGGAACAAAGACCTTTTCTCTAAGCTTATGACTACGAGACACAAAAAAATCTGTTACCCAGTCAACATACTTTTCCTCTGGATATCTTCCTTCTTAAGGCACAGGAATCTCCTCCATGTTTTTTAGTTTGCATTCCAAGTACCTGTGCCAAGAACATGATACAAAGCTTTTCCTTCCAGTACTTTTATGTTTCTTGGAGTATTTGGGACCCCTTACAAAAGCACAAGAGATTTCATTCCTATACATGTGAAAATAAGTAAAATTTATTGACTAAACAGTATCTATTAATAAAAACAACAAAAAAAAAACCCTAAAAAAATAAGGCTTTATTTCTCTGCTGGCTTTGCAGTTTAACAAGGCACTATTAGTTCCAATTCCTCTTATTTCACTGACTGCTTCCAGGCCTGAGGGCCTGTAACTTATAACTTATTTACACTTAAAGTAGCATTAAAATGTTACCCACTTCTTGCAGCAAGAGAATGAAGCTATTTTACCCCTAATGCTCCAGCCTGGTGAGCAGTCACACACACTTCCTATAAAATCCCATCACTCTGTGGTGTCATTTATTAAAAACCTGAATACTGAAAACCTAAATAAAATCAGTTGTCTGCCAGGCAGCCATCACTCATATACTACTGGATCTCTTGTTGGAGCAAGGGGAGAGTTAAAATTAAGAGCAAGCAGCAGTTCCATTACTGGGTGGCATTACAGAGTCAGTACTCCTTGTCTCTCGTGCCTTAGCAGCATTTTCCAGGATTTTCTTTTTCCATTCTTCATAATCCTGATTTGTTTCAGTCTTTGGCTGTTTACATGGTACTTCCTCATCCTCTTCAGAGCCTATAGGAAACAGGAGAGAGGCCATCATGCTGCCTGGGGATAACAGGCAGTGAGCAAATGTACAGACACCAGGAGGGGGCTGTCCCTGGGGGTATCTAATCCTGTGCTCACTGCTCCCCTCACCTGCTGGGACAGTCACCTCTGCACCTCTGTCTGAATAGAGCAGCCGTCCTTCATTCTACCGGGACTACTCAGTATAAACTCCACTGTCCTGCTGCCAGGCTCTTTGTGCTTCCACAAAGGTTTGCAGGATGGAGGGAGCATCATGGCTCATCACACAACTAGAACACTGAGCAGCAGGAAAGCTCAGAACTACTCCAGTGAGGTGATTTTCCCTCCCAGCTAAACACAACTTACCGTCTTCCTGCTCACACTGCTCCAGGGTGCTCTGCAAGCTGTCAGGTGTCTCTGCAGCCGGTGGAACATCTTCTAAAAAAACAAGTAAGTTGCTTTGCTTCTGAATGGTATTTGGGGCTCCAAGGGTGGCTTAAAAGTAATTCTCTGACAGCAGTGCCACCCTCCACAGTACTGTTGTCCAGTGAGAGCTGTTCCCTGGTCCAGACTGATGCTCAAGCTCTACAGGAGGTGCCAGCACTTCAAGTATGGTATGGACTGACTGGCTGCTTTAATTAGCAGGCTGCTAATTAGAAGCAAATTGCTCCTGCATTGGTAACCACAATGATCCATCTTATTTATTGCCCCAAACCACCTTCTAGATCACTCAGCCAGGATTAACAATTATTTATTTTCCTTCTATTCCATTCCCACAATTTTTGTAGATATCCACAACAGGCAGGGGGCTGTCCAGGTATACAGATGCACATTCTTCCCTGAATTCTTACAGAAATTCACAGTTGTCTTCAGTTGCTTTAGTGCTGGGGTAATGTTTGGGTTTTTATAGGGCATGTGCCTAGGAGACAGTAGCAGCTTTTGGGTTAGATTCAGGAAGCCTGTTGCAGAAAACATCAGGGTATGAAGACACAGTGAGAGAGGGTAACTTTCAGTAGGAAAGTGAGAAATGAAAGCCTGGGAAAGAAAAAAGGAGAAAGAGGAAGCAGCAGAAATACAATTAGGGCACATACTGTATTTCAGGCTTTCTCCCCCACAAAAAGGAGCAGAGAGCTGCAGGCTCAAGAGTGGGCAAGAAATATTCCTGACATCTGCCCAACGTATGGGGACGGGTGGTGCCAGGAAATGGCTGAGTTGGTACCAGAACAGCAAGGCTTATGCTTGTTAATCTTGCAGTGGGGGAAAGGAAAGCACAGGAGTGAGTCAGCCTGAGGAAAATGTTTTGTGATAATTTGTGTCAGGTTGCCATGTTAACAGGATGCAGAAACCAGGCAAGAGGGAGGAATCCATGATAGGTCAGGTAGTATGGGAGAAGCAAGGAATAAATTGCAGTAGCAGATACTGTAAAGAGCAGTGAGAATTTGAGAAGAGAGGAAAATATTATTTTTGTCCTTGCTAAGCTATTGCAACTTCTCCAGAAGCAAGGTCTGTGAGTGGAACTGGGCTCCAGGAAACAGGTAGGAGTGGATGGGCAGATTTGGATGAAAGGGGACAGCTGAAAATGATCAGACTGAAATCGTCAGTGGAAGAGGATGGGGTTCTGTGAGGCCATGGGATGTCTTACAGGGACAAAGCCAGAAACTTACTGCTGAGCTGCTGGCTTATCTTCTCCAGCTGATTGCACAGCCGGTCAAATATTGCTTTTTTCACTCCAGATGTAGCCAACATTTTAGTTTTGTCCACTTTTAGCTTCAAACACCTACAAGAGAAAGTTATCTCTGTACAAAGCAACACCCCAGCAACTATCACTTAGGTGAAGTGATAATTACTGTTACAACACTGCCTGTGAGAATGAGAAAGGCAGGCCTGACATTTTTTTCCACCTATCCTTGTGTCAGTCAGAAACAAATCTGCCTAAAAAAAACCCTACAGTACTCAGTCAATACAGCTCAACTGAAAACTCAGGCTGAGTTCAACTTACATAAAGAATTGTTTTAGGAAAAGCTAACTTTTCAGATTTTTGGGGAAAGAGGACAAAATACCACTACAACAAAAAGCTGAATGTGATTCTGTCAAGAGAGGCCTTGGCAGGAGCTGTGCAACTACACAGCACCTGTACTGCTGATTAAGACTGTCACAAGTTGTAATGCTGAGGGAGGAAGATCTCTGCATACAAGCAAATTCTTCCCAAGTGCTGGCTGAGTCACCTCTCTTAGCTGACATGGGCATACAGCTACCAGAGCCATCTCCCAAATGCTACAGCACCCTCAGGATGTAATGGCATAGCTCTTGGAGCTTTTCCTTCTTCAGAATGGCTACTTGGTGCTCAGAAGGCCTTTTTGCACCTTGAGCAGTATTTCACTAAAAGCCCTGTACGTTTTTGCTTTGTGCAGTGCACATTGAAGGCTTCACTAAGAGGGAAGGCCTGGTTTGCTCCAGCTGTCTCCCTCTGCAGGAGCAGGGCAGCAGGATATGCTAAGAATGAGCTGCTGGCACTGGCTGGTGTCTCTGCAGGCATTTCAGCCTGTAGAAAGTCTCCCAGGCTACACTCACCTGCATGCAGTGCACAGTGCAGCTGTTATAAACAGGGGCTTGGAGAGATCCAGGTCTGCTCGCTGTGCTTTGGAGAGGCTGCCTTCATACCTGGGGAACAGCAAGTGATAATTGGACAGTGCATTTGCCTCACATGAAGCTTTCAAACCCATCTGTCACACGGTACTTGGAACTTGAACAGGTCTGTTGCACCACCTGGGCCTCTGCAACCCACTCAAGCAGAAACAGCAGCTCCTGGATGAGAGGAGCAAAACAGATGAGGGAAAGAAGGGATGACCTCCTCTTTTGGAATCAGAGATATTTTAAACTGGGGACCTGGATCAAGGCATGTCATAAAATCTACTTCACGTACTCCTGATCCACACAGAACTTTTAGCTCTCCCTGACATCCTAAAATTTACAGTGAGATGCTCTACATAAATCCATCCCACAATACAAAGTAGCATTACAGCTTCTCTGATTCCTGTAACATGTGTTACAGAGAGGAAGGTTTATAAATGGAAAATGGCAAAGTGGATGTGCAGCATTGAAGAATGTAACTTTTTATTGTCCACCTGCCCCAGGCTACTTTTTTCCAGTTTGTATTAAGCAGCACCAAGCAAGCACAGCCTTTGTGCACTGACCTAACAGCATTTAAACATGTACTATCAGGGTGACAGCACTGCGGAACAGAGCTCTTCAGGGACTGCTCTGCTTAAAGCATATCATACAGAACAGAAAATTTTAGTTAGCTCTGTTGAATCTCCACTGAACTGTTCCACCTATTGGTTTTACAGGTAGAGTGATGTGCATTTTGACAGACCTGTATCCCCAAAAGGGAGGATTTATTTCTACTAAGCATTACTTCTGAGCTGTGCCCTGATCAGCAGTTAAAAGTATGACAGTGTGATGCTATGGGCAAATACAGGGATTAAGAGCCCTATACTGTTTACGCTATTCCCAGCTGAAAAATTCTGAGTTGGACAATGACTTGCTGAGATTCACAGACTAAATCTTTCTAACAAGTATTCTAATAAGTGGTCCAGCTCATGGCTGGATCTTCAGTGCTAAGAACTCACATTAGAGCTCCAGTCAGTAGGAGATATCTGGCCCTTCCAAACATCAAGCTCTTTACGCACCTGAAGAACAAGGAACCTTACTTGTGGCTCCCAGTGTGCCCACAAGAGCTTCCTCACCTCTGCAGGATTTCTGAAGCCATGTTCACTGCCTCTGAGCAGCAAAACTGCACAGCCAAGTCTCGTATCCCCAGCCTCTGGTTCACCTCTAGCAAACACTCCAAAGACTTCATGGAGCTTTGGTAGGTGGTCTTGTTCAAACCAGCGAGTTTAACACAATAGCTCTGTCAAGACAAAGACAAGCCCCAAGAATTAGCAAGATTCCTTCCTGACATCTTAATCAGGCAACCAACAAAACCATTAGGTTCAGTTGCTACATTAAACAAATTTGTGCAATGAATAATATAATGAAGTGTATTTTGACTACAGAAAGATTAACCACCTAGAAATGCCACATCTTTTAATACAGTGATATTTTTAGATGGTTTCACTGGCAGTGAGATTTGACATTTCCATATATAATGTTGGCCCCTTTATCACGAGGTAGTTAGTGACAAAATTACCAAAGTCTGGATTGAAGACATAAGCAACAACTTCATGCAGTCAGGTCCAATTAAATTCTCCTCTGCTGTAAATGGACAATCATGAATAGGTCCTACCAGGCATTATTTTGACAACTCAGTGCTATTCACCTGGCAGATTTACAGATACCCCTACAATAAGAGATTTCTTGGAGCAACTGCTTTTTTCCCACAGTAAAAGGGGACAGATCTTCAATTCAACATCCTTTCTGGCAATTTGTTACTACAGGAGTTGAAATTAAGTTGAAATTATACCAAAGCAAGCTCAGTTTGTGAGGGACTATGACAGTAATGTCAGTTTTCACTGTTTCAAACTGAACAGTGGAAGGTCTAACAAAGGAAAGCGCGGGATTTAGGGGAAGGTTAGGTATTATTTCCCATTCCTGCTCCCAACACACACTACAGAACAATGGTTTTGTGGAGTCAGGCAGAATGCACCAGCCGGCCAGGTCACACACTATCTTACTTTGTCAACTGGTTGCTTCATGAAACTCGCCGCCAGGTCCAGACACATCACAGCAGTGCTCGTCGCGGTCATCTGAGCCATTAACCCCGTGCACTTCACCTGGGACAGCCGCAGATACTCCTCAGCTTTTCTGCAAAACACCCAGAACACAAAGCTCTCGTCAAACCCCCAGCTACAATCCAGAATGCCCGACAGGACTAGATCCAAGGTTCCGCAGCCCGGCCTTAGTGCCAACGCCGTCCTTTCTCTGAAGATGTGCAGCGGCAGCCGCAGCTCTGCACCACCGTCTCACTGAGCCCGCGGCTTTGGGACTTCCAGCACACCCACCAGACCCGAGACGGGCGCTGCTGCGGTGCCGGGCCGCCGGGAGGGAACAGCACCTGCGGTGCGGGCAGGGGGCCGGCGGTACCTGAGCACGGCGGGCTCGGCCAGGCCCAGCCGGGCCGCCATGGCCCGCACGGCCCCACGCTCCATCGCCCGCCGCGCCTGGCGCGCACGCAGCCCATTGGCCGCCCGCGCCGCCAATCACCGCCCGTTCCGCCAATGGGCGCGCAGCGCGGCTCTTCCTCGGAGGGGGCCAATGGGCGGCGCGCGGCGGCGGGGCGGGGCGGTGCGGTGCGCGCGGCGCAGTCACATGACGGGGCGGCGCTGGCGGGGGCGGCGGCGGCGCGACCATGGTGAGGGGCAGCGGGCGGGGGCCGCGGGGCGCCGGGGAGCCCCAGCCGCGGTGGGACGGAGGGGCCCGGCGGCTGAGGGACGGGCCCGGCCTGGGCCCTGGGCAGCGCCCTGAGCGGCCGCGCTGGGCCGGCGGCGCGGCGGGCCCGGCCGGGTGCGGGGCTGCGGCGGGCGCGGAGGCCGCACGGTCCGGCCCGGGCGGGGCTGAGGTGCGGGCCGGGCCCGTGGTGGCGGCGGTAACGCTGTCCGCGGCCTGCGCCGGCTCACCGCCTCGCTGGGTTCAGCACATTTGCTCGCAGGGGCGCAGGGGAAGGTGGTGTTTTTACTGGGGAATCGCAGCCGTACGAGCGGTCAGTTTAGCTCTGTTTTGCCGTGCTGCCCCTGTGTTAAACCCGGGTGTCTGTCATTGCCGGTTCTGTGCACGTGTGTCTTGGTGTCCGCCTTGCAGCCTGCGCTCCAGTCCCTCCTGATCCTCCAAGACTGCTGTCGTAGGCTTCCCGAGTAAACTTCCTTTCTTTTCCGGCAGAAGAGGTGGTTGTGCATTGGTGGGCGCAGCTCATTAGCGCTCTTTGCCGCAAATGTTGGTGTTTGTTAGGCAGGGGGCAGCGAGGTGAGGGTCAGCCTCTTCTCTCAGGCAGTTAGCAATAAGACATGAAGGTGTACTCTTAAAATCTGCCGGGGGAGATTCAAGTTGGACATTTGGAGGAATTTATTCACGAGACGGGTGATTAGACATTGGAATGTCCCCTACCCACGGAGGTAGTGGAGTCACAGTCCCTGGAGGTGTTTAGGAAGGACTGGACTCTGGACATGGCACTGAGTACCATGGTGTGGTTGACAAGGTGCTGTTTGGCCACAGGCTGGACTCGATCTATCCGACCTCATTCATTCTGTGAAACCTGAAATTTCCACGTGGAAATAATGCATACTAGGAAATACTTTTCAGTCGTCAATGAAAATAAGGGAACAATCAAGTTTCCTAAAAAAACACAGATGTCTTTAATATGCCTTCCGTGGTATGTAATCAATAAAATTTTAAGCAGCACTTGCTGTAACCACCACGATGTGTAATTAGCCTAAGTGTGGCGTGGGAACAATGCTAACAGTATACTGATAGTGAGGCAGAAAATAACCAAATGCTTTATAAAGAAGGGGTTGCTCAGTTCTTAGGCTTTTGGAACAGACTTTCTTTTTAAAGTTGTATGTATGTTGGTTTCTATATCTTTGGGGCTGGGCAAAACCTGTAGTGTTACTTGAAGGAGGAATGTTAAATACTGAATTAGGTGATGAGAAACACTAAATCTATGTAGCCACCAGTCTCTGTCCTCCACACAAATATTTTGTGGTTGTCACTAATTCAGCGATGAAACTCCTTTTCTCTGTCATTTCCATGGGAACTGGCCAGACACTTGTCTGGTCTCATGGCTTCTTTCTAAGAATAGATGTAGTCAGGTGATTCAGAAAAAATAAAGCTACAGATGTTGAACATGGGCTAATCACAGGTGTTAAACATGGGATAATTCCCTCTACCAAATTGGGCTCCCCTGTGATTTCCTGCGGCTGAGCTTGGTTTAAATCTTGAAGCTGAATGCTTAAGTACCTTTAACATGACTTGTTTTAAGAGGGCTCTGGCTGCTTTTGATCATACCCTGAATAAAAAGTCCATCTCTTTAATACTTAATAGTGTCTTGTGGCTTCCTGTAGCAGTAAGTACCAGTTTCAACACGTGAAAAATGCTTTCATCTCTCTGATTTATCTCTGAGCTTCTATACTGTGAGATGTAATAGAAGTTCTGGAGCCTACAGTGTTGCAGAGAAATGCTTCCTGTATGGTATTAAATGCTTATGTGGGTTTTTTTTTTTTTGTTTTGTTTTTGTTTTTTTGGCAGTTCCCTCAATATATTTCCCAGCAGTGCACTGCATGCACCCAGGCCTCAGCTGTAGGCTGGCAGTGTCCTGATCTGCTGCGGTAGCTCACCCACCCTCTCTCTTGGGCAGCAGTCATTTGAAATGTCTCAGCAGTGATGTGTTGGCAGGTAGTCTTAATAACATCCAACTGGGAGGGGGCAGGAAAACCTCCCTGGGTAAATGTCATTTGTTGTGGCATTCAGTACAGGCGTGTGAGCAAACAGAAGGAAGTGCCATGTGGAACAGGCTCTAAGCACATCAGTTAACTCAAGTCAAGATTTGGAGATTAGATGAAAATGCACTTTAGAATGGAATGGAGGCAAAACCTTTTACTCATTAATTTTTATACTCTGCATGCAGCTTAAGGCACCTGTGTGTCAGAATATGAGCTTTTAGGCTTGACAAGCTCCCTTGAACTTTGTTCTCCTTCAGAGAGTACTCTGTGTCATTCTTGAGTATCCAAGATACCAGATTTTTAAATGATGATTAATAGGTTATTATTTTGGGTCCTCTCTAGAGTGCAGCTCAGTGTTAAATACGGAACTAAAAGTGAATCTCATGAAACTGAGTGTTAAAAAATGAGTAAATCTTACACAATAGGTGCAATGTTTGGTTTGTACGTTCAGGAGTACTTGCTGCTATGAGGATAGGCATGATCCAGAATAATGTTTGCTACTGCAGTAATATACTTTCTTAATTGTTATCTGCAGGATAATTTGTAGTAACTGTTCTGGTCAGCTGTTTTCAAGCTGTTTTGGGTTTAAAAAAATGTTTTCCAAGGCAACTTAGAGTTTAGTTTACAACTTAGAGTTTCATTTACTAGCCTTAATTTAAAAAAAGCAGCTAAAGAAACAAAACCGGAAAGGAATGAAAAAAGCACACCAAAAAAACCCCACACCAAAAACTAGCTTTCCTCAGCAACCCCCTCCAAATTCATCTGCTGGGAGTTTGGACTTCCATAACTTGCATGTGGTAACTTATGCTAGCCCTGTGTTCAAAGCTAGCAAAAGACTTGTCTCTTGTGCAGAAGCTGCTGATGCAGCTGGGGGAGGCAGTTCTCTGTCCCTACTCCACTGCTCACTTGCTTCTGAGGAAAAAATGAGTAAAGCAAATCTCTTCACATAACTCTCCTTTTTTCCTACAACATTTGCTGTGTATCTGGTGTGGGTATAGCTCAGACATTTCTGAAGTCTAAATAGCTGCATAATTGCTGTAAATTGCTTCTCTTGTGCTTAGGCAGGGCTTTGTACCTTATTGTACATGTAGCTGACAAGGCAGGATATTCTGTACTGCTGCTTTTGCCCAGGGTCAAAGTATCTTCCATTTCAAAAGCTGATGTTCAAGATTGTTTTTGTAGATGGCCCTAGAACTCCACAGCTGCTTTTTTTTGGTAAAATGACACTTGAAAATACTATTTTATATTACAAGGTTGGTAATTTAAGTGTAAGATACATAACATAAACAGCTCTATTCAACATGGAATCTAGCAGAACTGTGTTCTGATTTCAGTGTGTGCCATGCTGGATGTCACTAGTAGGTTTTTGCTATATGTTCTCTCCTTCATTTGCCTTTTGTCACAGCATCCTCAAACTTCAGGCTTGTGTTAGTAGGATATGTGTGTCTTGATGTGATCTTGCGTATCACTTGATAATAACCAGTTTATGTTTGGGAACCCCTGCAGTTCTAAAGCTGAAAGTAGCTTGTCTTCTGAAGTTGGAAGAAAATGGTAAACTGATTCATATTCAGACTTTGAAAAGTTGGAACTTGTTCACTAGTGCTGCTATTCCTACAGAAGTGAAATTACTACAAACAACCCCTCAAGTAACACAACTGCTCCTGTTTTATGCTTTTGGCAGCAGTGTAGGTTATTTTGCTATTCGTGCCATTTGAAAAATGCTCCAGTTGTCTTTTCTTCAGACATGAAGTGTAGTGCCCTTGTCATAAAGACATCTTTGTTTAGGCTGATCACCTTCTCAGTCTTCAAATTGGCACACATACAAATTGTATTTGCATCTGTGTTAATTCTTCATATCTTGGAGAGATCTGAAGAAATAAATTCTTATCTTGTGTTAATATGAAAATGCTTCTGTTGATGAATTCAGTTCTTAGTCCCAGTGTTGAATACAGTGTGGGACCTGGCTGTTCAAATTTAGAGCAGAAATGCAAGTATTCTCTGTCTTCTGTTAATGCAGACAGAGTTTGATATACAGCTGGCCCTATAAATGAATGAAATTCCAGTATGTCCCCAACTGCTGCTAAAATACAGCTGTTAGAGTTCTGTAAGAAGATACAAATGTATCTGCTGAGCCATGATTCTGTAACCAACGTGTTTGCACACCAAAAGTGAGGAAACCAACGCACATGGACTTAACCAGATACTTCGTGTTGTAGCAAATATGTGTGTGTTTCAGTAATGCTTTGGCTTGGTGTTGCTGTTAAAAAGCCTTCTTTTCACAGCCCTGCTTGCAGCGTTTTATGTGGCTTTAGGCAGAACCAGGTGAATGGCAATCTGTTAATCAGCTGGGCTTGTTTTACAGCTTTTTCTCAGCCTTAACTGCCCTCCCAACATTGTCTGGCCTTTGTGAACAGCTGGGGATGGAAGAGCAGAGCTGGTGGCTATGTGAACTTAATGTCCATGAGGAAAAGGGGGCATAGGAAGTTGTGGTCAGTGTTAACATTGCTGCATTGTTCCTAGCTGTGCTTTAATAGAGATTTGATGTGGTCAGAGCATATGGCATCCAGCTCAGTAGTGATTTATTTTCTCTAAAGCACTGGTATGGATTCAGGGGACTGTAGAATGTAACCAGTGTTCTGGCATAAACAAAATTCAGCAAGTCTGTTATGTGATGTTCTGATATTGATTACTGCACACTAGTCCCTGCACTGTCGTTT